GGCGGTCGGTGCATTACATCAGACAGGAGGACACTGAGACAGTGGACAACAGGACAAATAACATGATTGTCCAAGAGACGTCCTGCACAGCTTTGGTGCTTCTGGCGCAGCGGGCCTGAGTAGAAATGCCCCACGGTGAATGGCTGCAGCGTCGAGGGGGGGGTGGGGGGGGGCACTCGCTAACCTGTTTTAGCCCCATTGAGTAACAATCATGTAAAGAAAGCGTATTATGCTTCGAGTTGGCTCTGAATTGCTTTGAATGATTTAGAATATAAGCTCGTTTTAGGCCTCCCGCGGGGTTCGTCTCACTCTGTGAAAGAAGTAGCATTCGATTGCAACACGTGATCAATAACCTCTTCTGCAGTCCATCGGCAATAGAAGAGAACGATCCAGAGGACTGTTGTAATCCGAGCTGTCATGCTCAACAGTACAATGTCTGGATGAATTATCTGGTCCCAACGCCTTTTATTCCCTGTAGTTATTTATTGCTCACTTCCCCCTCCTGTCCACAGTGTTGTCACAAAGCCGTGACTCCTCCACCTCCTGAGGTGTTGAGTGGTGGACACTATCTGTGTGAGGATGTCCAACAGCAGGTCGGCTTTGCTTCATTCTGTAGACGCTTGTAAGTGAAACTACTGGTTTGGTTTCGAGCTTCCTCAAACTGAGGGAACATGTGAACGTTCGACTTTTCATCCCTCCGTGTGAAAGGAAGCAGAGAACGAGCCCCGGACAAAAAGAAAGTATCCTCTGAAGGAATCCGCTCGGCCTGCAGTTCTCGGATGGTTCCCCCTTGACATCATGTGTTTTTCCGTCCCAGACATCCACTGGCACTGTATTTAATCTTTGATTGATGCAGAAGGAATGCACCTTCACCTCCAAGGACCCTTTTAGAGATGGTGCACAACATACTTGGGTGACATGCGTCACCAGCAAATTAGCGGGAGCTCGTTTGTTAGCATCCCCTCCCTGACTGACGGAGACCAAACCTCCAACTTCTGCCTCAGCGTTGTTGACACCGATGTGTCACTCCTGGGAAGCGTTTGATTTATTGCTCCGTCGGGGTGAAACCGAGGATTTCGGGGAAAACTGCGTCGCACTCCTAGTTCCTTGTCTGTGGGAATTAATGTTATCTTTCAAAAAAGATTTCTGGATCAGCAGGTAAGAGGCACAACGCCAATTCAACACTTTGTTGAGAGG